TTTTTTTTTTCGTTCTTCTTGTCTTTATGGATATTACTCCAGTGGTACGGCTATCACCCGCACACCGTAGATCACCTAATTACTGACTTTCGAGAGTTGCTCCGAAGGAGAAAATCCCTTCATTTTATAGGATCCTCAAGTTCTTGTATATGTTTTTTTTTCTGTTGTAGCCCGTTCCCAAACGAGAGAAGCAGTCTACGAGAAATCTGATCGAGTAAACTCCACCAGATCTCTCTCTCTACTCTCACTTTTCTTACCCAGAACCCGTCCTCAAGTCTCCTTTTTTGTTATTATTTTTGGTTATTTTTGGGTTTTTTTTTTTGTTATAGATTGGCCTCAAAGAACTCCTATTTATTGTGTTATTTGTTTGGTCGGCGACAGACGTCTTGAGCGTACTCTTCTATCAGGGTTTCCATGCTCGAGCTCGTCGCTGATTTTAGAGAGGTGGGGAGGCCTTACAGGGGTGGGTGGGGGAGGTAGGCTGCTTAGGGTTTCTTGGTTGTGAAAACTGTGGCATAGCGTAGTTCCTCTCCACCGTAATTAGGAATTTTGCTAACCGCTTAGAAAAACATAGTTTCATCAGGGGTATATCATCAACTATCGCAAATTGAACTCGCAGTGGATGAAGAGTGGGGCAACTCAGGAGGTGCAGAGCTGTTTCTTCGCATTCGTCGCGTTGACTGGTGTGCGCGCGAGTGGGTTGATACCCGTGTCGTGACATACGGTGTAGAGTTAGGCCTGACTTACTCATACGCACTGACGACCACATGAGGGACAGACTAACGCCGGAAGGTCTCTTGTTTTCGTTGTTTTGTATCGTGCAGTGGTGGAATTCGTTTTTTGTGGCATACCTTGTCCTTCATGGAATTTCCTGCAGTGTATTACGAGGGAGTCTAGATGTGCGTAGAACTTCTGGCAGACTCCGCATTGGACTTTTTCTGTCTTCTCACGCTCTAGTGGTGGCGACGTGTCTCGCTGGCGTTTCTTATTTCGCGGAAACGTTACTTGTATTGTTGCTGGCAAAATTGGAGTTCCAGGTGGGTGTTTAAACTTTTTGTGGCATGCGAGAGCTCCAATGTTGCCAAAGTCGCGGAGGCAAAATTCGCATCGTAGGGGAGCAGGTTGTGGGATGAGCTGAGGGCGAGGTGCGTCTTTTTTGGGGTTCTCAGGATGTTTCGCTCTAATATGGGCTTTGAGACCAGTTTTAGATCGCGTTACCACATCACATTTGTCAAAGGGAAATGCTGATTCCTCTGGTATCG